TACATACATAAATAACATGTATATATATGATATATATTATATATATATATATATATATATACGATACTGTCGAGCTATACGTGGCAGCTCAATCCGAACACATACACTGAGACTTAAAGCGTTAACTGTTTATAGGACTATTAAACTCACTTGCAGTCGTGTGCGTTCACATGTCATATACGATACTAGGTATCTACAGGTGCACCAACATCAGCACATACCTATGTTATATATAACACCTCTGTATTATATGTACACTCACGATATTACATATATTACATATACACTCACTGTATTACATATATGTATTTCTATATACACCCCTATATTATATACACACTCACTATATTACATATATGTATTCCTATATACACACTCACTATAACACATATATGTATTCCTATATACACCCCTATATTATATACACACATTCACTATATTACATATATGTATCCCTATATACACCCCTATATTATATATACACACTCACTATATTACATATATGTATTCCTATTTACACCCCTGTATTTTTTACACACACTCACAAGCGTATACACTTTCACACGTACATGATATATGCAGTTCGTCGCGTTGGGAGAGCCACACCAGTGCCGGTGGCAATTTTGCCAACAGCAAACCAGGCGCAGATCGACTGGGCATGATGGGAGGGGCACCAGGACTCGATGAGTAAGTGGTTGTAGCTGTGTGTGTATACATGTCTGCTTGGTATGTATGTATGTTGAGGTCATGTCGATGAATAAAGGGTTATAGTTGTGTGTACATACCTGCGGGTGTGCGGATATGCTTAAAAACTCGAAACCCTAAACCCTAAAACCCTTATTCGAAATGTGGAAATAGATATTTGATTGTCTAATTGTGTGGTATGAGTTCGTTCCTACCATGTGTTGTATGTGTGACTGGGTGGTGATACGAGATATGAATAAAAGTAAGTTTAGTACGTTGATTCTGTGGACGTATCCCTTCTCCGAAGTGATATGGAAGTTCCTCCATTCGTTGATGTTTTTATCTTTGTTCCTTATTTGGTCAAAATTTACCCATCGCTGTATCATGGCCACACGCAGTCTATTAGGCGAATCCTTCCAACAGACGAACAAAGCCAACGCCTTCAGCTCACTGGGACGATCCAATCAGAACACGCAACCGCCACAAAAGTATGACTCATATTTCTATTAATAGATAGAAAGCTCTCTCTTGATTCAGCAGTTGTTGTTGACACATATCGATTTAACTCGTATATATCTCTCACATCAGAAGGTAAAATGGTTGAAAAAATCTTATCAAAGTATGACTCGTATTCAAAATCCCAAAGGATTCGCACATCCTATTCTTCCCATTGTTGAAGCATTTCTACCTCAAAACATATTGTCGTCGGACGTATCTACCCCCCCCCCCCCTCTGATCCGTGACTAGATTGTCTTCAGATGTATCTACCCCTCCCCCCTCCTCTGATCCGTGACTAGAAACAGAGCCCCCATTCCCGTTTCGGGGGCGCCCGGTCCTAAAATCGGATACTTAAGAAAGGGGATTCGAATGGACAGATTTTCCCTTGTCTTTGTTCCGGCTATATAGTTATTACCCATAGTAAATCTTTCGATTGCATTAGTATATATACACAACTTTCCGGCTATAAAGATTTCTGATATACACGCCACTCCTTGAAAACTTATCAGGATTCGGGCCGCAACTACGACAAACCCCAATTCAAAAACAGCGAATTTGGGGCAATCGATGGGAGATTGGGGCGAAGATGATAGGGGCTGGGACGAAGGAGGCGGAGACGATTGGGGCGCGCCAGTTAAAAAAGGTATCATGGGTAATGCACTACACGTACAGAAATTAGGGTTTGAAACCCTCTTTATGCATACTCTAGGGTCTCTCCCGTGGGACTACCGTTCAAGCAAATAGGTATGGGTGAGCCAATTCAAATCCAAATACTCGATGTTGACTACGTGATCAACCGAGACTGCATATTGAAGTGTCCACACATTCATACTTAATCGCGTCACACTACACTCGCAAACGCAGTACATGTAGTTGTCCTAAAACGGCACATAAGCTTGTTTGCGCGTACGTACAATCTCTGTAAGCCAACTCCAGAACGAGAAGGGCTCACAAGCTACAACTCCAGGCGAAACCCTAAAAAAACCCCTAAACCCTAATAACAAGGACGCACAAGCTATCTCCAGGAGACACCCTGAAAAACCCTAAACCCTAGCCTAATAACAAGGGCGCACAATTAAGATTCATAGCGCACAACACTGCCCACCATATGACACCAAACGCTGCACTCGGATACGAAAAAAAACGACACCGATGAGCTTGATTATTAACCGTAAACGAGATTTGAGATCCGTGGGAACCGATTTCAATGGCTCGACCCTAAACCCTAAAACCCTAAAACAACCCTAAAACGCACCAAATTAACACATCCACACTACTGAGCTTATCCATAAACCAGATTTTGGGTCCGTGGGAATCGATGTGAAAGGTCCGAAAACGGTACCAATTTCTAAAACAAACCAAACTCATACATGCACACTATAGCGCCGTCCAGTAAACCGGTTTCGAGGAACGGCAGCAGTAGCAGTGGGAAACCAACGACAGCCAATGGAAGCACCATTAGGGCACCCGGTGCTAAGGCAACCGCTCAAGCCGATGAGTGGGGCAACTCGGGCGGATGGGATGAGCCCGATGACTGGGGTGCGGATGAGAAGAAGAAAGGTAGGTCTTCCCGTGTTATATTGTGGGTGTATTGGGTAGGGACGAGGAGAAGGAAGGTAGGTCTTCCCTTGTAATATTGGGCATGTATATGGTAGGGTCGAGAAAAAGAAAGGCGAGTCTTCCCTTGTCATCTGTGGATGTATTGGAAGGGACGAGAGAGAGGAAGAAAGAGAGGTCTTCCCTTGTATTATTGAGGATGTATTTGGTAGTGTCGAGACGAATAAAGTTAGGTCCTCCCCTGTTATCTGTATGCATGTGCTTGTAGGTAGTTTTGTACATGTGGCGCTATGCAAGAATTCACTTATGCCTATGTACATGTACATGTACACTCATCAGCGCAATTTGTGTTTGTGTGTGCATACTGATTCATACTGAATTACCACCACAATTTCACAGCTGCGGTTGCTAAGCAAGAGGAACGGAAACGGGAGAGAGAGAGGCGGCAGGCTGAAATGAAGGCAAAGCGTGCCAACAGGCAAAAGGAGGGACTGGGTGCTGTGAAGAAGTAGCTGTGGAGAAGTAGCTGTGGAGAAGGATATAGACGATAATAAAGCTACTATCAGATACATCTCACAATGGCGTATATATCTGTCGAGAATCGTTCATCCAGATGTCTGCCGGCCCCATTGTGTTTGTGTGTTCTGTATGTTTAATCTTTCATTAGATGTACACTATGAGGTTACTACTGACAAGCACTAGAGCGAATCTTTGTCATATCTGTGCTTGGTAAATTACTAAATGTACATATTGGGTATATACTTGTAGCCATCCTATCCTAGACCACGAGTGAGAGGGGTATATAAAACCTCAAAACCCTTGACTATGAGTGAGAGGGGTATATAAAACCTTAAAACCCTTGACTATGAGTGAGAGGGGTATATAAAACCTTAAAACCCTCGACTATGAGTGAGAGGGGTATATAAAACCTTAAAACCCTTGACTATGAGTGAGAGGGGTATATAAACCTTAAAACCCTTGACTATGAGTGGGAGGGGTATATAAAACCTTAAAACCCTTGACTATGAGTGAGAGGGGTATATAAACCTTAAAACCCTTGACCATGAGTGACCATGAGTGAGAGGGGTATATAAAACCTTAAAACTACTTGACTATGAGTGAGAGGAGTATATGCAGTGACGATATATGTCATCACCCATTGCTACAACACATAAATGAAGAGAGATATATACGCGTGAGAATATGGAGTGTGCAATGACGCATATCTACAACAGAACACTAATTCCATTCCGTATGTAGCACTGGCATCTTCAACAACGATGCTGCTCACTAGCTAGTATATATATATATATATATATATATGTGTGTGTGTGTTTGTGTTTGTGTGAGTGGATATGTATATATCCACATATCCATTTATACATATACAAACACACACACACATATATGTATAATGGTATAATTATTTATANATATNTTACCCANACACNTATANATATANATATATATNAATTATAATTTTAATANTNTATATANTATATATATTNTANTTA